TGTGTGTGTGTGTGTGTGTGTGTGTGTGTGTGTGTATTGCCTGCATGTAGACAAGTGCACCCGTGTCGTGCAACGCCTGCGGAGGTCAGAAGAGGCTGTCAGATCCCCTAGGACTGGAGTTACAGACAGTTGTTAGCTGCTATGTGGGTGCTGGGATTCGAATCTGGGTCTTCTACAAGAACCACCAGTGTTCTTAACCACTGAGCCATCTCTCCAGCCCCAAATATCTATAAGTTTTAAGATAAAATGCTTAAAATACCAATGCATGGGATTACTTTTTTTTCTTTTTCTGAGGTAGAGTCTCACTATGTAGCCCTGGCTGGACTTCCCATATGACTTGTGGGATTCTATTGAACAAAGCGAATGTGCTAACATTACAAGTGAACTAAAGGTGGTGGGTACAGCCTTAAGCAATGGCTTTTGATGGGCCCTGAGCACTCTTTTATACTTGGAATTAAAAAAAAAAATTATTTATTATTTTTATTTTATGTGTATGAGTGTTATGCTTGCATGTAGGTAAGTGCAGCCATGTCGTGCAGTGCCCACAAAGGACAGAAGAGGCTGACGGATCCCCTGGAACTGGAGTTATGGACAGTCATTAGCTGCCATGTGGGTGCTGGGATTCAAACCTGGGTCTTCTGCAAGAACAGTCAGTGTTCTTAACTGCTGAGCCATCTCTCCAACCCCCTATACTGGGAATTTCTAACTAAGGGACTCAAACCACAAATCACTGGGACTACATGGTCACGGTCATGTCTGTGGTCACGCATGCAATCTGAAAAGTGGACACACAAACTCATTTTACAAAAAGTCTTGGAATCACTCAGTTTTTATCCTAGCCTTCCTATCCCAGACCTGGCGGTTTGTTCAACCCTTCTTTCCATGATGGGAAAAAAAAACCAAACCAAACCAAAACCAACCAATCTAAGATCCTTTATAAATTCTGCCCCCCCCTCCAATTTTTTGACTGGATTAGCTTCTGCTCTTGTCTTATAACCAAAACAGTCTTAATAAGTATAAAGGGGCCAAAGAGACAAATTCAAAAAGTAAATATACAAAACATACCCTAATAAAAGATTTGTAGGGGTTGGAGAGATGGCTCAGTAGTTAAGGGCATTTGCTGCTCTTGCAGAAGACCTGGGTTCAGTTTCAGCACCAACATGGCAGCTACCAACAATCTGTAACTCCAATTCCTTTTCCTGGCCATCTCAGGCACTGTAGACACGAGGTAAGGCACTCATATAAGTAAAATAAAAATAAATCTTAAAAAAAAAAAAGGTTTGTGGGCTTCTAGTGTAGATTCTGTCACAAAACAACACAGCCACTTTGAAGAAGTCATTTCCTACCTCTGAGCTTTAACATTTGTTTAATGAAGGTACTCTAAGCTCTGAGATCTCTTCTAGTTCTATTTTACTATATAAAAACTGGCAACTCACTTCAACAGAGGATGTCTTTTTATTTCATCAGTGTTTGTCCTTACTTTTTTAAAAAATATTTTATTATTTTTTATTTTTATTTTATGCATATGAGCGTATTGCCTGCATGCATGTAAGTGCACCCATGTCATGCAATGCCCATGGAGGTCAGAAGAGGGCGTCAGATCCCCTGGAACTGGAGTTACAGACACTTGTTAGACACCATGTGGGTGCTGGGAACTGAACCCTGGTCCTCTGCAAGAGCAGGCAGTGCTCTCAAATGCTAGGTCACCTCTCCAGTTCCATTTATCCTTACTCTCTAATAGACCTAGATATATTTGCCTTTTTGTTGAATATAAGAGAAATAATTTCTCAGAACAACTTAGAAAGTTAAGTAGCTACTTAACTTTAGAACTATTTCAATTTCTTCTCTAAATGGTATTCCTACTATACATTCGAACTAAGATATATCCTAGGTAGAAGAATGAAAGAAAATGACAAGTTAAAGTCACCCCTAGCTTCAGCAAGTTAAATTCATAAGCAAGCAGGAAGGGTGTGTATTAGTGCTAGCACATGAGTAATGAGATCAGCAAAATTAGGCAATCCTCAGGCATCCAGAAGTCAGAGGTATCCATTCCAACATGGACACTTTTAAGGACACTCCCCATTGGAGCTACAACACAGACAAGCGGGCTAGTTACTACAAGGACTCTGATCTGATCTTCCAGATGTTTGAAGAGACTCTAATTTACAAATCGCTCTCATGCCTACAATCTTTGGAAGGAGAACAGAAGTATTTCCACTGATCAGAGCATCTAAAAGGTAAATGATTTCTAATATTCCTAGTATTCTCCTTTCTTCTCATACATATTCCTAGCATATTTTATCTAGGGACCTCAGTGTGGGATCACCTGGCACCTTAATAAACTGGCTAACTGAACTCAGTATCCCTCTATTATTAAAAGGTGAAAGGTAATCTTTATTTTAATTTGTGAGCTGATGTTTTGCTCTTATCTGACCTTAAAGAATTTGGGATAATAAAAAATCATGCTCAAATTTCAATCAACTAACCTACAGAGCTAGCATCTGCTTATTTATCTCAAAGGTAATAAGCAGTAGGCACATAAATATTTCCAAAGTTATCTGCTTACACATGTGTTCCCATAACAATATACAAATTATAATTATATCAAATGTTTTGGGGATTCCCAATTTAAAATCAAAACTAAAGCTATAATTTGAGAATCTGACTCAGAATCTAGAGAAGAATGCAATTTCCTCATTCATAATACTGTTATTAAAAATATTTTTTTTTAGTCAGGCATGGTGGCACACGCCTGTAGTCTCAGTACTTAGAAGGCAGAGGCAGGCAGATCTCTGTGCGTCTACATAATGAGTTCCAGGCTAGCTGGGGCTACAAGGAGACCTTGTTTCAAAAGACCAAAAATCAGTGTTAATTACGAAAAAGCCCACTAGAGACATGATTCAGTGGTTAAGAGCTCTTGCTGCTCTTACAAAGGACACTGGTTTAGTTCCCAGCACCTTTATGGCAGCTCAAAACTGGAACTCCAGTTCCAAGGAATCTTACACCCTCTTCTGGCCTCTGTGCACACTGCAGGCATGTATACAAGTGGGCAAACACTTTCACAATAAAAGTGAAACAAATAAGTGTAAAGTAAATGAATTTTTAAAAACACACATTTGTATGTTTTAATACTTAAAAAGCTATGTTCACAAGTTATCACCCCAGCCACGCAACAAATGGGGCAGGGAAATCATTACCATACTATAGGCTGAGTATCTCTATTCAAAATGCTTGGAGATAGAAGTGTATCTAATTTCTGGCTTCTGAATTTTTAAATATTTATATAGTCTTTACCAGGTGAGCCCCTCTAATCAAAAAATCTACAATGCAAAACTTCAAAAACCATTTTTTATTTCAGATTTTAAGCTTAGAGAATGCATGCTCATTCTGCAGTTCGTAATAGTTAGGTCTCAAAGAACGCTATCTAAGGGCTGAAGAGATGGCTCAGTGGTTAAGAGCATTAGCTGCTCTTGCAGAGGACCCAGGTTTGGTTCCCAACAACCACATGGCAGCTAACAACCATCAGTAACTAAAGTTCCAGGGGATCCGACACCCCCTCTGATCTCTGTGGGCACTGCATGACACAGATGCATTTAAATACATGTAGGCAAAACACTCATACAGTATTTTTTTAAAAAAGGATGCTATCTAGCTGGGTCTGGTGGCACATGCCTTTAATCCCAGCATCAGGGAGGCAGAAGCAGGTGGATCTTTGTGAGTTCAAGGCCAGCCTGGTTTGCACAGTGAGTTCCAGGCCAGCTGGGACTACAGAGAGACCCTGTCTCAAAAAAAAAAAAAAAAAAAAAAAAAGCTATCTAGCTACAGCAGCTACATTAGTACAGAAAATTTAAAGACAGTAGCAAAGGTTATTAAAATAATAGGACAATTGGAGCTGGAGAAAAATGGAGAGATAGCTCAGTGGTTAAGAGCACTGACTGCTATTGCAGGGGACCTGGGTTTGATTCTCACCATCCACATGGCGGCTAACAACCGTCTGTAACTCCAGTTCCAGGGGAATCCTAATGCTCTCAACTGACCTCTACCAGCATTGCATGACACAGGTGCACTTACCTACATACAGGCAATACACTCATACACATAAAATGCAAAAAAAAACAAACAAAAAAAAACTCCCCAAAACAAGACAACTACCTTTGGAAATATTAAGTCTCCTGGAAGATAGGCCAAATAGTAACAAACACTATAGTAAATGTAATGAGGGACTACAAGGAAGGAAAATCACAATATTCATTGAGTTCTTAGAACTCAGGGTTATACAGTTTTAAATAAGTTGAATATGATTCAAGTTTTGTTAACCTCACCTTTAATAACTCGTTCTCTTTATCATGGCAATTAGCAATAGTAATAATATCATTCACTAGTTCTTTATGATTTTCAAGATACTGCTCTAGGAAGGGAGTCTTACAACTCAGAGTAGGCCTTTGAGTGCTCTGATTCTTGGCTGGCTGCACTCCAACATAAACTCTACCTTACCCAGGGCCACACAGAGGTGGAGCCAGCCAGTCACTGTCTGAAACCCACAAAAGGAGGAGCTAAAGACATCTTTCTTATCTTCAGAAACAACCAAGTCAACAAAAGTCAGAAGAAATAATAAAAGCCAACCTTCTTTAAGATCCCTTTGCAGAACTCATCAATTTCCTTAATTGCTCTTCAACTCTGACTGATCTTTGGCATTTCTTGGTCAGATTTTTAAAAAGTCTGGGCACACTCCCAAAGACTCTGCTTTAGCTGCATTGTGTGGAAAATAGGCAGCAGTGTTTTTACAACCTCCCTGCATAGCCTTAGTATGTGGCAGCTGCTTTTCCTTCTTTCTATGTCTCTCCTTCTGCTCTTTCTTTCATCTTCATTCCCCAAACTGTCTCTTCTGTTCTTATTTTCTAGAGATATGAAAGGAACAGCTCACAGAACTGTTTAAAAATGGCATCAATTTCAGTAGACATCATGTACCACGAAGGAAGACAAAATGCTGGCACTGACCTTTGACAAGTCAATGACTTTAAAGACATAACTCAATTTCAGAAAGGTTAAATGTGAAAAAGATGTAAATGAAATAACTCCATCCCTAATCTACTACACAAGAACTTTAGGAGAGTTTTCACATGTGCCGTTTGATTAGAGATTATAGATAATGGTTATTAACCTAAAATATTTACTTCCCAAAGGAACAGAATTCTATAATTCTATTTTGCCAAATAGCACTACAAAAACATAAAAATGAGTCTGTACAATATTATAACTTCAGTGTTGATTTGATGGCTCACAGAAATGCTTTGTTCATCTGGGTAAATAAAATTTTCATGGGGCTAAACTGTAAAAAACAAAAACAAAAACCCCAACCCTTCACTTTAAAAGTCTTTTAATATTTGCCTTCAACTTATAAAACCTAAGTCTCACTGAAAGATTTATTTTCCAAAGTACACTTAAAATAGGAATTATTAAGACTTAGAAATTGTTAAGATTGCCTCTTAAAAAAACAAGAAGTGGAGTGGAAATTTACCTGAACTTCTCAGCTGGTTTGTCATTTTTATTTACTCTTCTGATACAACATGCTTTACTGTTTCCCGAACTCTTAAAATGAGGCTAAAAATATTGCCAGTGTAGCCACATTTCCTGGGCTTCTCTGAAGACTCAGTTCGGTAATGCAAAGGTATTTTAAGGTATTCATGAGACTTTGAGCGGCACATTTCACATGATCTTCTGGTCAGAGAATATGTCCAATGAGTCTGAGGAAGCTTCTAGTATTTTACATAGTTTGTGAGATGTTGTGGCCAGTTAGCTGACACTGTGCTTGTGTCAGTATGAGTCTAGTTCCAGAAAACACAATGCAGATGAATTCTATATTTCAAAATGAAACTAAACATTGACATTCAAATTAAACCATACTGACACAGAAAAGCCCTGGATTCAGTGTGGTTTATTTCATTTTTTAGCACACAAAAAGGCTGACATAAAATATTCATAGGGAATATCAACACGAAGGGAATATCAACACGAATGTTTCTCACAGCCAATGCTATTAACAGGAGGCTATGAAGAAACAAGGCACATGTCAAAAAAGAAGAGAAGCTCTGTTTGTGAAAGGCATAGTAAAGGCACAGATCATCAAACCAGAACAAGAAAAAGTCCTTGGAGGAGAGATACTGCCAAGTTTAAGTAAAAATTGACAGCTACAGTTGTTTTTAGTTACTGTTTTTACTTTTCTTTCTAAGGTAATGGGAACTAACCATTTCAAAGGCATACAAGCATACATGTAAAAATACCAGAATGATCTGGCAGAGGTGTAAAATATGAAGACAGAGCACCTTTTCTTATTAAAAGAAGTTCCTATGACCACCCCTGTTCTCTGAAAACCAGTGTTTGAATTTTACATTGGCGGATCTGCTGAGTTTGAGGGGATTACCCATCCTTGTCTTCCAGTCAGGAGAGAGAGACCTTCCTAATAAGGTTCCCTTTCCTCTCATGGTACAGAAACTCTGACATAAAAATGGAGCAAGTATATATTATGATGATGTCCTATGGTAATCATTTCCCATTAATAGGTGATAGAAGAGACAGGAATTCCTTCCACTATTAGCTTGGAATAAAATCTGCCTACTAGACAGTAGATTAGCATTACCTCATAATGGGAAGTTTTGCTAGAATTTGGTTAGGCATTGGGCCTATTTAACAGAAAATGCCCAAGCTAAGGATCCATTTAAAATTTCAAAGTTGCTGAAGAGCTCTTTTTTGCATGATCATAGATGTTTCAGAGATACTCTGTGTGTCTCTGTTTTTTAGGCAGGACCTTACTGGCTGGCCTCGAACTCAAGGTTTTCTGGCCTTAACTTCGGAGTACTGAGATAATGCGCATGTGCCATCACACCCAGCTGTGATCTAGCTCTTATAAAGGACTAAAGTCCTGAAAGAAAACAGTCTCTACTTTTCACAATGATGTGTCTCCTAGCCTACTACATTACATGAAATCCTCTAGTCTAGTCTAGTAGTCAAGTGTGCCAGGTAAGCTCATCTTTGATATGTGGTTTAGGCTCTTATGACAGAACTGCTGAACTAATTCCACTTTGTACATGCAGCGAGGTAGAGAAATACAGGCACATGAACCAAGACTGTCTCCAGTAGTATTGGTACAGAAAACTGTTTTGTAGTTTTAGGGCTGACTACCTACAACAAACACCTCCTAAAGTAAAGACAGAACCAACTATGAAGAAGCCAAGCTGGTTTTGTCTTAAGACAACGGGCAGCAATGATCAAAGAAACTGCAATCGCAAGAAATGTAATCCTCTTGCTATAATGGTGGTAGATGTCATTTCCTTCTTCGAAATGCAAGCTGGGGCAAACAAGGCACAAAAGAAAAGTCATATGGATTATATCCACTTCTAGTGAGGCATTATGAAGGCTTCTGTTACACCTCTATTGCCAGCCATGGGTGGCACACAAATCATACATGGCAGCTTTATAGAAGACATGCCTACCAAGGTGATGTTGAGGATGAGGAAAAGTAATCAGGGTTAAAAGACCCAGAATGGATTAGTTCCAAGTTTATCAAAGGAAGCTCATTAACTTCAGGGTGTGGTAGCTCACACCTGTAATCTCAACAGTGAAGAAGCTGACACTGGGGAGCTATATGGTACAGAGTAAGACCCTGTCTCAAAAATCAAACAAAACAAAACAAAACACATTAAGAAGGCAAGCCGGAAGAAACAGTACTTGTCAGTGGTACTGAAATTTTGGCAGCAGAAAGCATAAGTGGCTATCAAGTATAAAGGAGCCATGGAGTGATGGCTGCTGAGGCTTGGGGGTCCCAATCTGAGCAGATCTGCCTCACTTCCTGCCTGCTAACCACCCAGGGGAAGCCTATTCTCTTAGCAGCAGAACCAGCATCACATAGTATTCAGCTAGACCACTTGAACATAGCTAGAAACTTAGCACAGTCACATCCCTCAGTCTGGTCTTACGTTGCTTCTGACATCCCATGAAGTCTCTAAAAACAGTACTGTAACTACATATGAAGCTGTCATGCTCTTGATGCTACTCACCTCTGGTGTCCACTTGTAAGAACATAAAAATTCTGCGAATATATTTCCAAACATGCGCACCCCCCAAAAAAGATTCAATTCTTCTTAAAAAATCAAATACACATGCACACAGACATGTGAGGACCTGTCAGAATGTAGGGGCACACTCTTCCTAAATACTGCAGGACTGAGAGGAAAACATTATGTTGGCTCTGCCAGTGGCAAGTTGTAAAATCCTAGGTGAAACACTAAAAATTCTCTGGAAGGCAATTTTATCTTTGGCAAAACAGGGGAGCAGAATTTCATCATCGAATTCTAAAATTATGCCTTAGTTTTTTGGTCCAATTTCAACGAGCTTTTGGTAACCTCAATATATAATTGTTAAATTCATTATTTGCTATTAGGATTTATAGTTTTTAAAATCTTACACTATTTACAGAAAACAAAAGGTAGGCATTTTTAGGAGAATCTGTCCAAATACCTTATCAAAATATAGTTGAATAACTTAAAAATAAGAAATGTAATAGAGATACTGAGTCAGTTTACTATCAAATCCAAAGTCTCACTCTAGGAACAATGTAGTTCTTCAGAGTAATTTAATAGACAAACAGGTCAAATAACAGTGTACTGGGAGTAACCTCCAGACTTGTCACCACAGGGGCCTTTAAATTCTAGAAGAAAAAACTCAAAATACTAAAATGCTTTGGAAGGCAATTTTAGGAGAAGAAATGGGGCAGGGAGGACATCCCACTCACACTATTCTTTTATTCTTTGTTAAAAAAAAACCCAACTTGCTCATGACACTAAAGAAGAGGCACTTAAGACTCTCCAGCTTTCTCAGCTCTCTCTGTTTTCCCAACCCATGTGAGTGCACACCGTTACAGCATTTTCTGTAGTAGCCCAAGATCTTGTTCAGGACTGAAACAGGCTTAGGGTAAAACAAGCTCATGAATTTTCATAGGAAATTTTAATTCATGTATGCTTTGAAAGTTCATAGCTCTATCCCACTTAGAGTCTCTCTCTCTCTCTCTCTCTCTCTCTCTCTCCTCCCCCCTCCCTCCCTCCCTCCCTCTCTCTCTCTCATGTGTGTGTTTTACCTTGGAGTTAAAAAACAACAATCTAGCCGGGAGTTGGGAGGCAGAGGCAGGCAGGTCTTTGTGAGTTCAAGGCCAGCCTGGTCTACATAGTGAGTTCCAGGACAGCTGGGGGCTACAGGGAGACCCTGTCTTTTTTTCCCCTCAAAAGACCAACCCCCCCCCAAAAAACCAACAATCTTTTGTGATAGGATGTTACATAAATTTTTTTTCATTCAACAGAAACCCAAATTGAAAACATATACAAATTCAATTACATTCAAATGCGATGTCACAAACAGCAAATTTAAATATTTTTTATTGGGTCTACCAGTGTGAAATATTGAACTTTTATAGGGGAAAACATCCCATATGCTTAGCTTCTTTTACCTTATATTTTCTTCTTAAGATTTACTTTAAAAATGATACCATGGCTACATCTATTATTTTCCAAAAGATGACAGTATTATTCAGTTTTAACCTTGTCTGCTAAGAAAGGACTTAGACCTTTAGAAATAGACAGAAATTCTCATCTACCTGGAGAATAAAACCTGTATGACTGCTTAACTGGTAAGAGGAAACTCAAATTAACTGAGTCACTCTCTCATTACTTCAGAGAACAGACATAAAAATCCTTTCACAACAAATCCCTTCCCTGATACAGTTAAATGCAAATTCTCTTTTCTGTCTTACTCCAGAAAGCTCCTGCTCGCATAGCTGATACGCCACCTACTGCAAAGCCCAGCTGACAGCGCAGGCGATGCTGCCAGCACTTCCATTCCATCGTCAGGCTGAGACGGAATAAAGGCGTGCTTGTATGGAAGTGTTTCTTTTTTAAAAGAAGTCTCCAAGCCAAGAAGAACGAGCTGAAATAGCATCCTGAAAAATGGAGCGTAAAATAATCAGAAGAGAAAAGGAAAGGGAGTATGAAGGGAAACACAACAGTCTGGAGGATGCTGACCAAGGCAAGAACTGCAAATCTACCTTGATGACTCTCAACGTTGGTGGATACTTATACATTACTCAAAAGCAGACACTGACCAAGTACCCAGACACTTTCCTTGAAGGTATAGTAAATGGAAAAATCCTCTGCCCATTTGATGCCGATGGTCATTACTTCATAGACAGGGATGGGCTCCTCTTCAGGCATGTCCTAAACTTCCTACGAAATGGAGAACTTCTATTGCCTGAAGGGTTTCGAGAAAATCAACTTCTTGCCCAAGAAGCAGAATTCTTTCAGCTCAAGGGACTGGCAGAGGAAGTGAAATCCAGGTGGGAAAAAGAACAGCTAACACCCCGAGAGACTACTTTCTTGGAAATAACAGATAACCACGATCGTTCACAAGGACTGAGGATCTTCTGTAATGCTCCTGACTTCATATCAAAAATAAAATCTCGCATTGTTCTGGTGTCCAAAAGCAGGCTGGATGGATTTCCAGAGGAGTTCTCAGTATCGTCAAATATCATTCAATTTAAATACTTCATAAAATCTGAAAATGGCACTCGACTTGTACTAAAGGAAGACAACACCTTTGTCTGTACCCTGGAAACTCTCAAGTTTGAGGCCATAATGATGGCTTTAAAGTGTGGTTTTAGACTGCTGACCAGCCTGGATTGCTCCAAAGGGTCAATTGTTCACAGCGATGCACTTCATTTTATCAAGTAATTACCTGTCTCGTGAACAAAGGCAACAAGCATGCAGCCAGCAAGCTTCGGAAACCACAGCATCAAAGGCATCCCAAACAGCGTGGCCAGTGGGCTCTGTACTCCAGAGCCCTGCTGCTAATCAAGTAACTGAGCATACGGTATGTAAATCTATGGCTAAAGATGTCCTTCTCTGGGGTGTTCCTGCCCATCAGACTCTTCCACCCAAAGGGGAAACAGTAGTCTTCTATACACTGTAAATAAAGACAATGCTTTTGCTGTTTATTTTTCCTTAAGCTTTCAATCAGAATGATTTGAGTACTTGCACAAAAAGAAAAAAGAAAACAAAAACAAGCATGTATATTATCTATCATTCACTAAAGTAAATGGCAACAAAATATTTTTACGGTTCAAATTCCTTTCTACTTTAAGCAAAAATCTACAAAGAAACCGAAATGGTAAAATAAACACCGGGAGCAAAATAGACCTAAACAGGGCTACCCTGAAACATAACTGGATTATAAAGAGATATTGAAGCTACTAATATGATTTTTTAATAGCAAGCACCAAAAGCTTTATTATAGTTCCTGTATTTCATACTAGAATTATAGCTAAATTGTTATTTTGCTGGAAATGCCTAGAAAAATGCTTGACGACAATAAAAAGAAAAATAAGTAAAATCACTGCTAGCTTCTTTGCTTGTATTAATATTTGTAATAAAAGTTACATGGCCTACTTTAAAAACAACTAGTGTCACTTGATTTTGCACAATAGTATGCACTGATGCTATCAACTGGCAAGCTACACCCACACTTAATTTTTGCAAGGGACAAAGATTAGCAAGTGCATTTCTCTGCACGCTGCTCCAGCAAGGCAGGGGTAACTTGGTCTCAACTGAGTGCATGGTATTGGAATTTTAAGAGCCAATGTTCACAACCACTCTATCTGCTCATTTTTTAAGCTCAAAATATTAAATGAACACCATTAAACAACATTCTAAAGAAAGAATTATACTGATTCTTTTGAAATCTATTTTCAGATTTCTGTCCTTCAGAAATTCATCCTAAAACCCAATAAACTAAACATCAGCTTTTCAATTCCTCTCATGTTACACTCAGAACACCTGTCTTGATGCTAAATTCCAAATTCAGAGCTGTGCTTTTTTAAAAATTTCATAATTTTTAAAGAAATTAAAGAGTAATGTATATATGGGCGTTTCAATGAAATAATATACCAACTGAACCTTAAATGTGAGTACATACCTTTCCTCCAGTTCCTACTTTGCAAAGAACACCTATATCATTTCTATGGTATCTACTCTGGTTTCTAAGAACAAATTATGTCTTAAATTTGCTCCTTTAAAAATAAACAGGTTGAGAGTGGTGACTCATGCTTAAAATGATGAGGCAGAGGAATTACCACAAGTTTGAGGCAAACCAGGGCAGCAAAGTGAGGTCCTATCTTTAAAAAAAAGAAAAGAAAGAAAAAAGGGGTGGGGGAAGCAATCATTAAAACAGAACTGTAATTCAACCTTAATTTTAATAAATCAGCAAAATCTTTTGAAAATCCTAGCTGTTTAAACAGTTAAATAAGCCTATATACCAACACTGATTACTTACAAAAACACAGAATATGGCTCAATATTCCCAGAATTATAACCGACTGTCACAAGTTCTTAAGTAATAAAAGTTGGCTGTACATATTAAATCTTTCTGAAACTATTATACAAAAAGTTTTTGAAAAATTCACACTAAAAACAATAAACTCAATTATCAACTACGTAATTTTTTCTTATCCTAACACTTGAGAAAAAATTTCCCCTAAATTATCAAATTCTCTTAACACTCTTTAAATGGCTTAACCACTAAAACAGAAAAAAGTAGCAAAATTTGGCAGTTACTGCTACTGAACTGTTTATATACCTCTTCCAGTTTACGAGTTGACTTTTTCTTTGGATTTGGATTTTGGTAATAAAAAAAAAAAAAAACATTACTGACTTAATGTCGAAACCAGATTTTCTCTAACAAGATTTCATTACAGATAATAAAAAATAGCACTGACGCATCTTTTTTTTACAGGACATGTAGCAGAATAAATCTTAAAATTGCAAGTAAGGATTTTCCACTAATTCATAAGAAGAGAATTTAGCTTTTATAACAAAGTTACTACTGTTAGAAACTACCAGAGGAATCAGGTACATTTATATATATATATATCTCCAAATAAATACATAAAATCTGGATAAATGTAACTTTTCAAACTTCTGAGAAATCACAGTACTCAACAATTTAATAACCTATGAGAAAATATGACATTGATAGCCTTGAAACTTTTTAAATATGTGCCTTTATAAATTCAAACTCAACTGTTTACATATTCAAGTGCTTAAATATTGTACTGTAGATATTAAGTGTCTAGTTTTCCATTTTAATGTTTATCTTCCATGCAAGAAAAGAAATCTTACAAAATATTGATTGTAAGTCAGAGTGAAGCTTCCTTATTTTTGTTCACAGTCAATGTATAATTCCTTTCTCAGAACAGATCAGCATCTCTCTAGCTTTCTTTTTAAAGAGAAGTAATAAAAGAAGGGTCCTAGAGTTGCCATGAGTCAAACATACATTCTCCTATTTGGAATTAGTCAGTGATTCCAGCACCAACCTTAAAATATGAAACTAAAAATGTAGCTTATGGCTTTCTACTCTAGTTTTCAATGTTTATGGGCAGCATGACAAATACATGAAACACTTGAAAGACTTTTCAAATAATACAAGGCAGATGACTTCCTACCCCAATCTAAACATGACAATACTGAATAAACTTGTTTGAGTGTTGTTGTTTTTTAAAGAAACATACCTATACTTTAAATGCTACTTTTAAGGTATTAAGAATAAAAGGTAATATTTATTAAGTTTTTGTGGTTGGCTGGTGTTTATTTGAGACACTTACTCTGCAGCCCAGGCTGGCCTCAAACATGGAATGATCTTGTTTCAGCCTTCTTAGTGCTGGAATTCCAGGTAAGGGTCAGCATGCTTGTTTTTTAAGCGCTTTACCATGTGCAGATCCATTGTACTATAAACACAAATTGTCTCAATCCTCAAACCACCCCAAGAAAGGTAGTTACTCTTCTATTACAGATAACAGAGAAAGGAGGTTAAGAATCCTGCCCCACAGCCCATCATAGTCACAAGCCCTGTGTATACTCAGGGAGAGAATATATGACACATTGGGTTAGGAATTTTAGGAACCACTTCCAAAACCTTCTAACTATGGCTCTTGAATAGGTAACTACTATCACTACAAGAATTCCTTCTTCAACTGATTATTCACCTTTTTCTTTGCCTTTCTTTTGAGAACAGTCCACTAGGTTACTACTGCCCTTAGAAAGTATGAGTCTACAGATAGGCATGTCTCAATTACTCCAAAGACACATCTCTCAGTGAATTTTATAAGTTTTCCTTGCAATTTAAATAAATGTGCCACAAGAAATTAACAAACAACCACCACCACCAACAACAAAATGAATCCTGCCCAAGATCACAGTTACTAAGAGACAGGGTGAAGATCTGTAAGCCAGGTACAGCAGTTCCAGATCCAGCAGGAAACATGCCTAGTGTTTCAGACTGCTCACGTTCCTAAGTCTTAGAACTAGCACAAAACAGGCATTCAGGAACTAGATGTGAATACAGAATACCAAAATGTACGTTTGTCTTACTTGTATACTTTCACGCTGCAAGTATTTTCAAAATGCTAAGAAGAGGCTGAATTTGGGAATAGCAAATAATATTTTTAATGTCGCGTCATGTCATTTAAAGAACATGAGGTGAATCATCCATCTCACAACACTGAAGACTATCCAAAATTTGTCTATTTACGAATCTCGATTTTAACATAGCAGGTTTGCTAAAAAGGTTAACTTTCAAAACCTGTATAACTTTATGTTACAAAAAAATTTTTTCTTCTATTATGACCAAAATATGCTACAATAAAACTCACCTGAATTCTGGAATTGAATTCTATTATCTTCTACTACCTTGCTTATAGGGCCACAAGCAAAATCCTTAATTTTTTCAAAATCCTCATAGCGAACTTTATATTAAAATGTGACTTGTATGTGAAGTGCCTCTTGTTCACAGACTTTCAGTAAAAGCATTTTTTTTATTTTTTTATTTTTTTGAGACAGGATCTCCTGGTGGCTCCAGTTGGCCTGGAACTCAGAGATCCACCTTGACTCTGCCTCTCCAGCGCTGGGATTAAAGGCATGAGCCACCACACCAGGCTCCCGTTTATTAACTTATCCAGTGCAAAATTCCTAATCTTGAATACTAGCCATATATGCTTTTAATCCCAGCATTCGGGAGGTGGAGGCAGGCAGATCTCTGTGAGTTCAAGGCCAGCCTGGTCTACATAGTGAGTTCCAGGCCAGCTAGGGCTACAGGGAGACCCTGTCTCAAAAAGACCAAAAAAAAATTGGTATAGGCAAAACAGATTTCATTGGTTTAAAAACACATATGATGGGGCTGGAGAGATGGCTCAGTGGTTAAGAACACTGGCTGTTCTTGCAGACGACCCAGATTTGAATCCCAGCACCCCCATGGCAGCTAACAACTGTCCATAACTCTAGTTTCAGAGGATCTAATGGCCTCTTCTGTCCTCTGCAGGCACTGCACCACACACAAGTGCACTTACATACACACAGGCATAACTTAACTCATATACATAAAATAAAAATAACGTATGCTCTCTAGACTTAACTTTCTAGCTCTACGCATAAATTTTCAACAAAATAAGCTAGCATTATTAGCAATTTTAAAAAGTCCGTGGGAATAATGCACATGATAATGAAATTTAAAAGCTATGCCTAGCTAACGAATTATGACTAAATACCTCAAAATGCAAAAATGATGAGGTTAAAATTATAGTGTCTGAGTCATAATTAGCATTGCTAGTAAACAGAGATATACATGGACTATCATAAACAGCATTCAGAATTTTTTGTATACAGCTTTGAAACATGACTTCTGAAGCAGACTTCCCAATCATATTTTACATTAATATTAAAATTCATTTGCTCTATCAACAAACACCAAAGGCAAAGTGTTTAAAAAGTGCTTCCTGAGCAAAGATAAATATCTAAGATGAAATCTAAAATCTCCCTAAAATAATTTATGAAAAGTTGATAGTACCCATCTTGATAACACACAATTGGTTCAAGAGTTTCTATCAAACAAGTCACTTACATGATCTTGAATGCCATAATAAATTGTCTATATTCAACTAAACTTCTATTAATGCTAAAAGTATATATCTTGTGCTGAGGATGACTCCATGGCAAAGGACTTGCTTAGTATTAGCAAAGCCCTGGGTTTGATCCCCAGCACAAAAAGGGATAGGTACAACTTAAGCACGTTCTTATGGACAAAACTGAAACTGTGGTTTTATCTAAGTATCAGCTGTTTCAGAAAAACACTGAATTAGTTATTAAATAGAAAGTCCACTAGACACTAAAGAATGAGACAATTATAACAGATATCTTAGACGTCTCTTAAATATCAGTTACCTGCCATAAATACAAAACAGTTAATCTAACAGCATGACAAGTTTTGGAACTGGAGTTATGAACAGTTGTTATCCACCATGTGGGTGTTGGGAATTGAGCCCAGGTCCTCTGCAAGAGCAGTCAGTGCTCTTTAACTGCTGAGCCATCTCTCCAGCTCCTCATAACACGTTTTAATAATAGTTATCTAGAAAGGTCCACTGGGGCTGGAGAGATGGCTCAGTGGTTAAGAGCATTGGCTACTCCGGCAGAGGACCCAAGTTCAATTCCTAGCACCCACATGGCAGCTAACAACCATCCTAACTTCAGTTCCAGGAGACCTCTTCTGCCCTCTGTGGGCATTTCATGATATGGGTGCATACATACAGGCAGTACACTC